TAAATTTAGATAGCTGCGATTATTATTTACTTATCAAATTTGTTATACGAGGTGCTTATTAACATTTTCGTGGTTCGCAATTGATAAATTAGCCAAATCAGCTAGTTTGACGAGTTTGACGTGTTTGACGAGTCAACGCGGTCAACCTGTGGTCAAAATGACATTCCGATGGTTCAAAGTTGTGTACAGGGTCTATTATGACGTATTGAGCGTGTTTTTGTTATAAGGAGAGCATCTGAGAAAATGATAAATTCTACCCTAGACCAATGTGTAACATAAAGTGTAATAGAACATTAGGGTTTCGTTTGGGGAAACATGCATTGCTACACAAAATAAGGTACTAAATTTAGATAGCTGCGATTATTATTTACTTATCAAATTTGTTATACGAGGTGCTTATTAACATTTTCGTGGTTCGCAATTGATAAATTAGCCAAATCAGCTAGTTTGACGAGTTTGACGTGTTTGACGAGTCAACGCGGTCAACCTGTGGTCAAAATGACATTTCGATGGTTCAAAGTTGTGTACATGGTCTATTATGACATATTGAGCGTGTTTTTGTTATAAGGAGAGCATCTGAGAAAATGATAAATTCTACCCTAGACCAATGTGTAACATAAAGTGTAATAGAACATTAGGGTTTCGTTTGGGGAAACATGCATTGCTACACAAAATAAGGTATTAAATTTAGATAGCTGCGATTATTATTTACTTATCAAATTTGTTATACGAGGTGCTTATTAACATTTTCGTGGTTCGCAATTGATAAATTCGCCAAATCAGAGAGTTTGACGAGTTTGACGAGTTTGACGTGTTTGACGAGTTTGACGAGTTTGACGAGTTTGACGAGTCAACGCGGTCAACCTGTGGTCAAAATGACATTCCAATGGTTCAAAGTTGTGTACATGGTCTATTATGACTTATTGAGCGTGTTTTTGTTATAAGGAGAGCATCTGAGAAAATGATAAATTCTACCCTAGACCAATGTGTAACATAAAGTGTAATAGACCATTAGGGTTTCGTTTGGGGAACATGCATTGCTACACAAAATAAGGTACTAAATTTAGATAGCTGCGATTATTATTTACTTATCAAATTTGTTATACACAAAATAAGGTGCTAAATTTAGATAGCTGCGATTATTATTTACTTATCAAATTTGTTATACGAGGTGCTTATTAACATTTTCGTGGTTCGCAATTGATAAATTCGCCAAATCAGAGAGTTTGACGTGTTTGGCGTGTTTGACGAGTTTGACGTGTTTGACGAGTCAACGCGGTCAACCTGTGGTCAAAATGATATTCCGATGGTTCAAAATTGTGTACAGGGTCTATTATGACGTATTGAGCGTGTTTTCGTTACAAGGAGAGCATTTAGCCGAGTCTTGTGGATACTTTTCACAATTTAGGCCGCAGATAATCGCATGCTCGGTGATCGAATATCTGATGGGCACGCCATTCAGAACAAACCATAGTTGTTTCATTTCTCCTTCCAATTTTAGTGCCCGATGTAAGAAGACTGATGCCGGAACCATCTTCAATGTGTCCTTACATCCAAGATGAAAAATATGCCGAAACTGGGATTCTTTTTGGAAATATGTAAATTCTTCATCCGTCAAGGCCTTTTTAAGAGATCTAACAGTCTGATATGGATAACATTTCGTCGTGATCTTAGGAGCCATATGAATGTCCTTAAAATCATACACAAAAGGTACCTGCAAAAACAAATTTAACACTCATTATCAAACTCGTCAAACACGTCAAACTCGTCAAACACGTCAAACTCGTCAAACTATCAAT